ATTGTTTAGATTTATTTACAAATATTATATAAGATTTATAATTTCATGAAATCAAACTATATACAAAAATTTTACAAAAATATTTGAAGACATTAGATCTACAACCAAAGAAGGCATTTTTAATTCTTCTTTAAAAACGTACCACAATGAAAGCTTTTAGAAATTTCAAATTTGTGAATTCATACAAATATCACACATAAAAATAAGATATTCTATTTGCAGAAGCTACCTAATTTATAAAAAAAAATACTCTAACGTTTCGTTTGTTTGAAGTTAAGCACAAAGCTACACAATTGGCTATCCGTGCTCTGCCCACCACGAGTATCGAAACCCGGTTTTTAGCGTCGTGAGTCCACAGACTAGAGACCGCTAGGGATGTCTCGTGTCGGCTTCTTAATATAACAATAATTCACTTAATATATATTAAGAAGCAAGTGAGCTGGCGTTTATAAGACAAATAACATAAAAGTTAACTAAACGTTAAAAAGAAAAAACATTATAAAAGAACCATAACTAAAATTAAAACTGAAATCGCTACTTCACACTTCCGTCACCAGCTAATCCCAGTAGCTTTCCTCTGACCCATTCCAATAAAACAATATTCGAGTTACAGGGTTTTCATCATTTTATATCAAGACTTGAAACCTGCATGTTTTTCTAACATTATGAATGAGTCAATATTCTTTTTTTTAGTCATAAGGACGCCTAACTTAATTTATTTAGCGTCCTCTATCGCACCACAATCGATTTAATGTAGCGATCAGAAATATCCGGAAAGACAGAACACAACGACTGAATTAGTCAGTACTGTTTAAAACAAAATTTAAAGGAGACCAAAACTGTACACGGTATTCCAAGTGAGATTTGATTAAGGATTTGTTCCTGTTTTGACTTCTAGACAGTATGTCTACAATACATCCTAAAATTGCATTATAATTATTACTGCTAGTAATAGAACACTGCTTCAATTTCAAATTGGCAAGAGTTTAATTATGGTTCTCTCACAGTATCAGTATTACTAATGGAAGTAAAGTGTAAAAATCCAAGCAATAATTCCCAAGGCATTCAAATTCAATTAAAAACAAGGGTCCAGTGTGGCTGACTTTAGTATCAATATTAATAACAACCTTTTGCTTTCTCAATTCCAACCAATGTGATTTCCTTAGCAAATCTTTTTGTGTGACACTATGAAAAGCTTTTTGAAAATTTTATATACATATATCATGTCAACACTAGTTCCATTGTCCAGAAAACAAGTAATATCCTGAAAAATGTAACGGATTAGTAATGAAAGACTTCCCTTTGGTGAAATTATGTTATCTTACATTTATGATCTCATATTTTACACTAAATGATCTTATGAAGCTTCTTTTATCAGACTAGAATTTTTTCCACTTTAGAAGTAGAACTAACTGATCTATAAATATAATCTACAGGACAATTCTTATCACCCAATCTCAAAATAGGAGTAATATTAGCAACTCTACAATATTTAGGCACCTGCCTACTGTTTATTGGCCTACCAAAAAATGAGAGAGAGAGGTTCACATACCTGATCTTTGACCTTTAAAACCTTGATAAAAACCATGTCTTTCTAGCAGAAACAGCCTTAGCCCAAATGGTGCCCTTGGCAGAATTATCCTTTCTCGTCTTGTATGTTTCTTACATTTTTCATCCTCTTTATTCAATTTTTTTTCTCTTCATTGACATGCCAGATTCTCAAAATTTTCACATCACTTCAACTGTACTACTGATAAAATGACACGTATATATATATATGAAACATATGTAAAAATAGGACATAAAGAATTGTTGAAAAACTAGTGGGCATTACTGGACATGCCTTAAGTTTAAGATTGTATTCATGCAATCAATAATTTTTGAGGGGCTTTTTGCACTACCAGGGAAGTTGCTTGGTTTGCCTAGCCCTGGAGCCAGCCTTGCAGCATAGTAATTTCTTTCTTTTTTAATTTTCCATATTTTTACATATCACCAAAATATCAATATGTACATGATTCAGTACAACTCCAGTACCTTCCATAGAATGCTCAAAGTCAGGAATAGTGTAAATACATCCTCACTGATAAAAAAGAGAACATTTAAAAGCTCATTCAACAAAAGCTTTGCTATGAGCATCTTTTAAGGACCCAATTCCCTTTTTAACACTTGTCTTATCATTAACATCTGTAAAACAAAAAAATTCTTGTTAGTTTTAACATTATCAGCCAGCTGTTTCTCATAAGCCATTTTGGGTTTTGTAACTTCATTTTAACCAACTCCCTAGTTTTCCAATAGTTATATAAACTTCCATCTGGCAATTGAAAGTTAAAGGTATGGAATTTCTCCATTATATCTTAATTAACTCAAATAATATTTTTATTGTGCTCGTTAAACATTGGTCCTATTTTTAATTTTTTGTACAAGTTTGCCTTGACTGAATTTTCACACCGATCTTAAATTAAAATCAATGTATTTTGAAATTTGTCCCACATGACTTTTTAACTTGAACTATTCACTCATATTCCTTTGTGCTATATTATGGTGTTAATAGGAAGGGAGAACACAAGTTTAAAATTAGGAAAAAAAGACACAGTAGGCTCTAGTTAATAATTTTATTATTCCAAAATGTTGATTAGTTTGTGAAATGAGTTGTTATCAGCGGTAGTGGAGCCCAACACTTACAGGATTCAAGAGGGGAATCAATCATTTTCTGGAAAATCAAAGCTGGATTTAAATTTTTACTTTTCTTTAGGGAGAATGTGAAAGGAATGTTTTGAAAGTCTTAAGTAATCCCATGTTGTCTGTATGTTGTATTAGATCCTGAATCAGCTACGCAATTTGATATAATCTTTTACATTCATATACCTTTTCACCACTATCTTAAACTGATCCAAATCATCACTGTATGTATAACCTTAAAAGTCAGTTACATAATTTAAAATTTACAAAAAAATACTTGTGACTCTATATTCATAGTAGTACTACAGTTATGTTCTTTCAAAAAAAGTACATTTATGAGTGGTCTATTGTGACCCTGTTCAGTTAATTAATTTTTTCAAGTTGTTTTTCTTTGCTATGCTCTCTTTGTTTTTATTTTCATAATTAATCAATTAATTTTGAAACTCATAATTTAAACTAATGCAATTTGTAATATCTTTAAACTTTTCATAAGTTTTTGTTAATTTTTTGTTTCTTTTTCATGACATCTCACAAGTCAACTGAATTAGTTAGGATGGAGGAATGTTAATGTGGAAGACTTACTACCTACACATGTAGTGGCAGATCATCATTTTTTACTGTGGACACATTGGTTGTAGCTTAAATATTCAAAATACAGTTTATACAAAACTAATCTTTATAAGAAATGTTGCGAGTGGGGGTTATAGGAGCAGGAGCTGCTGGTCTTTCTGCAGCTCGTCACTTAGCGGCTCAGTCTGATCACTTTAACTTTGTGGTGTATGAACAGACTGGGGAGGTGGGAGGAACGTGGTATTATCGAGATGAAGTAGGCACAGATGAATTTGGACTTCCTATTCACTCTAGTGTGTACAAAAATATGAGGTAAGAACAAAATGCTCAATTGAATATTTATTTAAGAAGCTATAATTATTGTTAAATACTGTTTTTTTCATGTTACAAAATCTTGCAGCTTACATTCAACAAAATTGGTGGTTATGTCCAAAGCAAATTGTTGACAAGAAAGATTTTGAAAAAGCTTTTTATATTTATAAATCTTCCAGTCAGTAAGTATCCCTTAAGGTCCCTTAAAAACCTTTGATGGAAAAAAGTACATGTTAGGATGGTCTTATTTTTGAAGTTTTGGTTTACAACATTCTCACCATCTCATTTGTTCCAATATATATAAATAAGTAATGTAACACCTAATTTTATCCATATTGAATAACATTAGGGGTTTCTCAAGGTAGTAAAATTTTAACTTGTAGCTCACATTATATCTGCATATTCTGAATATTCTACAATTCTGAAAGGTCCTAGATTTATTCTGGAATGTTCTAGCATATTATGATGGAATATTGGAGCATGTTCTGGAATATTCCAGGGTATTCCACACTATTAAGAATGTTCAAAAACACTATATATATATATAAATAATCTATGCTATCACTTTTTACTTCTGGAATATTCTGAATCATATCTTAGAACTTGCTCTGGCAAATGTTTTAAAAGACTGCATGGAGCTTTCCTCTGGTCCAGATATTGCAGTTTTCAATTTATTCCAGCAGTCTTGGTAATACATGGACCAATCCAGTTATAAAACTGCAGCTGATCATGATGAAGTAGCATAAGCCATAGAGGAAGTTAACGACAATGTCATTGAGTTTACTACGAGACAACTTCAGATCAGCCAACCTAGAGACAATTATTGAGAGCTTCTTCAACTGTCCATAACCTTTCTTATGGAGTGTAATTTATAGCATCTGAAGCACTGCATCATGCACAATGGATGTCCAAGACATTATATCCCCTTAATATCATTGGCTCTGAGGAAAGAGGACTTGCTATGTTTTAACTTTTTATAAAGTATTTTTAAGTATAGTAAAGTGAATTCTATTATTCAAAACCTGCCTGTCAAAAATTTCTGGACATCTATGGTATCTCCTTAAAGAACTCTTTGGTTTGGCATTGTTTGATTCAACTTTGCCCACAGAGACAAAACAAGAAATGGTAAAGGCACTAATTAGAAGGAAGGCTTGGATTAACCTTCAAAGTACATCCAGGCAAATATCTGTAAGTGTGAGGACATGTCAATTGAAGATTTTGTGACGAAGAACACAACACACTTCATCAAATGCCTCAAAATTCCTTCTGGATTTCTGAATTATGACTCCGAGTCATAGGAGCTTAGAGAGGACCACATGGAGACACTGCAGACAGTTCAATACTTGAATGTGGTAAATGACAATACTGAAGGTAGTGTAGCCTTTACTAAGGAGTATAATACCATTATAACAAAGAAAGAACAGAAACAATTCCTTTTTTGAATTGTGCAAGATCATAGAAGAAGCTTTCCTAACAGTAAGAAGGGAACAATAACAACACAAAAGTGACTAACCACACCAAAATCATATAATTGTTTAATTATATTGTTGTACATGCAATAAAATAATAATTTACTTTAAATAAATCATTTATAATACATAACAAATATGTACCAGGCCACTGCAGTCTAGAACATCAAACTCATTGAGCAAGTCTAAAGAGGTTATACTTTCGTTTTACGAGTCATTGGTTAGGCCACATTTTTAATATTGTGTTCAGTCTTGGGATCCTTACCTTTGGAAGGACATTGAATTGTAGGAAAGGATTCAGAGAAGGGTTACTAGAATGGTGTCTGGGATGGAGGGGTTGTCATACAACGAGAGGCTGAAATCTCTCAAACTGTTTTATCTTGAAAAAAAGAAGAGTTAGTGGGGATCTGATTGAGGTGTTTGAGATTGTAAAAGGAATTGTTAGTGTTGATTTATAATCTTTTTTTTCTATTTAACAATGAGAATAGTAGGACTAAGGGACACAAATATAAATTTGGCAAGGTAGGAGTTGTCTTCAGCCAAGACAGTTTTATTTTTCTAGCAGGATGTTTGGACTTTGGAATTGGTTTTCTTCGGATGTTCTAGAGGCAGTAAATTTAAGTGAGTTTAAAAAAAGCTTGATAAATATATGAATGAAAGGGGCTGGGTTGAAAATTTTTTATATTTTATTTAATGATTTTAATTTAGTTTTGAGGATAGAACAGCGAAGATGGACCAATAGGTCTCATGTTGTCCCAAAATATTGTTACAACAGCGGAAGTCCCGTGACGCTGATAACACGTAATGAGTATCTAGAAGGTTCCTGAATTTTGGAGATGCCTCTATTTTGTATATATAACACTGGCAAATAAAGCGGGAGAGATAATTGCAAATTGGCAGAGATAGAGACGGACAATTGAGTCAAGCACGGTAGTAAGTTAAGTGCGTGAATCATTCGTTGTGAATTACGTGTTTAAGTCAAAGTGACTGTGGAAATTAAGTGTATTGCAAAGTTGAATTGAGAAAGAATAAACTAGTTTTATTTAAGGAAGGACTTGTATCGCAGAACTTTCTCGGAAAGAATTTCTACGAAAAATTAACAGACGTAACAATATAATGTTATGTAATTTTCATTGTCATGTGTTCTTCTAGTGCTGGCAGTGAAACAATGTTATAATGTTACTCATTAATGTTAGTTTGTTACTCTGTGTGTGTGTGTCTGTAACTGAGAGTTTATAGATTAAAGGGATATGTATATTTGTGTGTTTACTTCTGTTTTTAGGTTTAGTGGTATGCATTTTTAGATGTATGTGTGATACATTATGTAGTACAGAAATTTCACGAACGTGTGTGTTCAGTGTTTCTATAACAATAAAAAATGTATGATAGTTTGAGAAAGAAGGTTCATTTTTTTTTCTTGTTATATCATTATATAACCACTAATTGTAGGTCTGTTTTTAATATTGTTTATTCTAGCTATTGTGCATTCTATAGAACTTAAAGAATAATAAACTAATTACAGAACAAATATACCCAAAAACATCATGGCGTTTCCAGATTTTCCTTTTCCCATTAAGGAAAATTGCTGCTTTGTACACCATAGTGAAGTTCTTTCATACCTTAAAGATTACACCAAATATTTTGATGTGGCTAAGTTTATTCAGGTAAGATGTTTATTTCGTATAAAAGCTGTAGTTAATAAAAGATCTTAAGTACCACAGATGGAAACCATAATGTTTCAATGGATGTCTTTCAAAACATTGCCTTTTCCATCTGTGCTAGTCTTGTAGATCATTCTTCGAAGACTTTTTTCACAACTGTCATGCTGATTTAGGCAGTTGCTGCCCACTTCATCTTTGTTCATCATGAAAATTCTGCCTAAATCGTCCATAAAATTATATGCATTTTCTTACCAAAACAAAAACTTGCTAATATATACTGCAATGTGCAATATGTACATCCTCATCTTTATCTGTTCATCATTTAGATAACTCCTTTCTTGTAGGGGTATAACTTGATAAGAATTTCTAAAAATATAATCAATTTCCAAATATCTGAACTGTTACATTTTCCATGAAGAAAAAAAAAGGTTTACCTTTCAAAAGTATTAGTAAGTTTTCTTGTGTTGTTTTTCACCAAGCATGTTCTCTGAGTACAGTATAATAAAATACATTGCATATACCTGTAAATCTGCATCAGAAAATTATGCATTTAAAACTTTATTTCACCACCTTGTTTTTAAGCATTTAGTTCATATATAATTAGTTCAAGGGAAAAGAAAATTGAGAATGTCCTAAATTATCTTGTTTTCATGCTTACTCTTTTTAACTTCTTTTAACTCATTTCAAAAGTATTTAGTAAGATTATTAATGCTTGGAGACAGCTTGAATGGGTAATGAAGAAAAACTTTAATATAATTTTAACATAACAGCAAATGTACGTTTCGACTAGGTTTTGTTATCATCATGTACCAGTAAGATTATTTTCAACATCCCTAATTTTTTTTTTATTTAGAAGTCCATTCTGGTGCAGACACAATTTGGAGCTATAATAATCATCACACACATGTACATATAAATATATGTATATATATTTGTATGTGTTGTATCTTACAGAGTTTAATTTTTGGTTTGTTTTAGTTTCACAGTTATGTCCAGGAAGTCAGGCCAGTTACTAAAGACACTGGTCAAATACTTTGGAATATTAGTACAAAGAATTTAGTGACTAAGGTAATAAAACAGGAAGTATTTGATGCTGTCATCATTTGTAATGGGTAAGTATAGCATTTTAGTATTAGGTATTTTAGTTTTCTTTAATCAAAATATACAAATGAAGATTTCCATTTATCTAAACTTTTCTCCAGATTTTTCTGATGCCTGACATAATCCAATTATGAGATTGTTCCATTCCTCTATTGAAGTTAAAGTTAGTATTATCTGAATAACATTAAACAGAAATGCATATGTTTTTTGTTTTTATGGAACTAAGTCCAGAGGACCCGGCATGGCCAGGTGGTTAGGGCGCTCAACTCGCACTCTGTGGGTCACAGGTTCGAATCCTCATCCCACCAAACATGCTCGCCCTTTCAGCTGTGGAGATGTTATAAAGTGATGGTCAATCCCACTATTCATTGGTAAAAGAGTAGCCCAAGAATTGGCAATGGGTGGTGATGACTAGCTGCCTTCCCTCTAGTCTTACACTGCTAAATTAGGGACGGCTAGTGCAGATAGCCCTTGTGTAGCTTTGCACAAAATTCAAAACAAACAAACTAACTAACTAAGTCCACAGAATGGTCTACCTATACTTGCAGAAAGAAGGTTTTTAAGTTATCATTGTAATGTAGAGTAATTAGTAATAAACCTTACCTTTAAGTAAACTCAATTACCTTGATGGTGTCAAATTCATTGAAGTTAGTATTACATCTGTATTTTTTTCAGTCTTAGGTTTGAAAATTAAAGGTTATTATGAATTCTTACTCTTGTTAAAGTTTAAATTGTTTTCCTGAGTCATGTTAATACTTTTTTTTTATTTCATTTATCATCATTGACTTTTTTGTACTGTTACATAAACTGTGTTTATACTATTTAATAGGATAGCTTGTCTCTTTATAATATATTACATGCATCTGCATAGCTTTTTCCATTTTAATGTCCACATGTTTTTCTGTTGTAACTATGTTATTTTGTTGTAAGTATTTACAGTTTATGATAGTTTTAAATTTAGTACTATAGCTTTCATTAACTTGATTGAAAATAAGTTTGAGGAGAGAGAGTGTTGTACCTGTGACACTCTTTCAAACATTGCTTCATAATTCATTTGCTAAAAATGTTTTTGATTTTGTGTTTATAGCCGGTTTACTAAGCCCAAGTATCCTGATATCCAGGGAATAGAATCCTTTCCAGGTTGGGTTCTACACAGTCATGATTACCGTGTTAATGACCCCTTCAAAGGAAAACAAGTAGTTATTCTTGGAGGTGGCCCATCTGGTATTGATATCTCCAGAGAAATTGCAGAAGTTGCAGAACAGGTAAAATTCATAAATTTATGTTATTATGCATAGTTTAATGCTTTACAATCACATTTTTGAATTTTTAGTACTATGATTAGAAGAAGTAAAGATATTTCATATACCATTCTCCTAGCTGATGAAATTGTCCTCCTCCTGTGGCAATTCTTCACATATCTGTTTGCCTTTGACTGGGGCATTTGTCTAATCACTTCCTTTTATCTATGTTTTATTTTCAGCATCCTAGTCTTCAACACTACTATAAGGATGCCACTATGTGGCAGGTGTTACCTGGTCAGGAATGCTTTGCCTCAAACCCACACTAGTTTAGAGTTGTTATGTAATGCTCACTGTAGAGATGGAATGTTTCCATATATATATATAAACACACACATACTAGATATCAATCAATTTCAATCTGTGGTGGACCTTCACTCATGGACTTCATGAGTAAAGCAGAAGGGGATTTCTGCCCATCCCTGCTGACCCTTTGATTGAATAGGTTGGGGTAGGTCTGCTTTTCAAAATAAGGAATTGCAGACACCCATTATACTGTCTCTGGTGTGACATTCCTCTGAACTCCCCACTGCATTTCCCCCCCCCCTTTTTTTTTTCTTCTAATGGAGCATGGGAGTCCTTACCACTTCCCATTTTCCAGTCTATTTGGTGGTAGATCATGGAAACTCCCTCCTGGGTGAATTTATAAATTTATTTTACAATGAATACTCTTGATTATCTACTCAGTGAGAAGAGAGCAAAGCTGGTTTCCCTCCTTCCGTTTCTGCTAGAAGCTTTTTCCCAGCTGGACAGCAATAGAGAGAATAATAAATGAATCAATTAGAGCAGGTCCAGCCTATGCGGGATCCTCCCCATAATGCTGGGTTCAAAAGGCCAATGCCCTGTTCCCATAGTGGAATGCAGTAGATGCCTCTCTTCTTGTTAATTACAGTTGCAGAAGGTTCTTTCCCTTTTTCTACAGTTGAGTTCAGGAGACTTTATCTGCCTCATAATACTGGCAACAGGATGTTCACACTCTGTTTCAGCGGTTGGGTGATTGTTCCATGACTTCGTAATTCCTGATATAGGATGTCTCTGCCCTACCTTTACAGTTGAGTGAGTTACGATTTTGCCTGTAATACCGGTTACAACATTACCCTGTTCTTATGGTTGAGTCAAGGCAATGCCATAACTTCATTATGCCAGGTTCAGTTTGTTGTAATTCTTGCTCCTTCAGTGGTATAGGGAGTTTGTCCAGTTATGACCAAAAGCTCACTTCCTCTTCATAATTCTGGTTCTTTGATGCATGACACTCTGTTTGCTTAGAATTGAGATAGTTTGGTTTATATAACACAGTCCACATGTCCTAGCCACAGTGTTGTTATTACAATTTTTTCATCCTCAATCTAATAATCCCGTGGACGAGTTATGAACCTCATCTGTCCAGTTTAGATTGAGAATGTACATACCTCATTCCATTTATATGTTAATGTAGCTTGCACCTATCAAATCATATTCTGTTTGTGCAAATAACTTCCTTTTCCACCCATTTAAGATTCATTTCCTACTTCCAGGGCGAAGAGCATACCTGTTCCAGAAGTGGTGTGGTGCCCCACAAGTGTGCTCTGTTTTAACACCAGGTGCCCTCATTCATTCTGAGTGAATGCTTTCCACTTGGTTTCACTTTTGTGTTCCCACACCAGTTATTCCCATTTTTATAGTGTGGTATTTTAGCTTTGTGTGAGAAAAAGTAAGACCGTATTGGAAGCTAACATTTTTCTTACACTGAAAATGTATTTCCAATAGGTACTTACCTCCTTTCCCACACTTCTCCCCACTGCTGGTGTTCTTGTTTTGATACCTGCCAATTATCAAAAGTTAGGATTGAGCAGGAATAGCAGAGGGAGCTAGCTGCACCAGTATAGATGGCACAATACTATTGATGGAGAGTAGTCACATGATATGTACATGTTCAGAAATGGTGCAAAACTGATGAGGTGTAAAGACTGATTGCAAATATTTTTTTAACAAGGATAAGACAAGGCAGACAAGTATAAGATAGCTTTGTGTGAGATATATTTCCAATGGTTACTTACCCCCTTATAACACTTCCCACCCATCCTCCCCACTTCCTGTGTTGTTTTATATGCATAATGTCAAAGTGAAGATTTGGTTCAACTGCATAAAGAAATACAAGTATTCAGGAGGGAACTGTTATCACAGGACGATGCTAGCTAATAAAACGACACTACACAGCTAACAACTTTAACTTCAATGGAAGAAAGCCTCGATATAAAACCCAAAACACCTTCCCACTCTACTAGAAATAAGTAGGATGATTAAACTACATTAGATGTCAATTTTTAATTATCAGTTTTAGAATTAACCATAATAAAGTGTGTATATTATTAATCACACATACAACAGATATGTTTAAGGTTATAACAGACAAAAAGAAAAGCCTGATTATTTCACAATTTATAAGTATAAATACAAAAAATTTATAAAATCATATATATGTTCATCAGACATTGGTCTCATAAGTTTAGATTAAAATATACAATTTGTTTTGTTTTTTTATCCTAACAAAAGAGTCTGTGTAAAGTTTGCACATTAGAGTGTCAAAAATGTACCCTACTAAGCATGACTAGAATTTTTCTAGTTCCTTTATTATAGTTATTTAAATATTGACATATCAAAATAATATTCAGTAATAACAAATGAAAACAGACAGTGCCATCAAAAATTTTAAAAAGTCTATGGATGATATGTTGGCATAGAATGTATTATTTTAAAACCAAGTCCAAATTAATTTCTGGAATTAGAGTACATCACTATGGTCTAAATTTCCATGAAAACATTGGTTTGGTTAGTTCGTTATCTTGTGTGTGAAAAATAATAAAAACTTTACACTTCCA